CGCGCCGCGCGCGCCTTCCCGGCGCATAGGGCATAGGATTCCTACGGAAAAGGGACCGTCTCTGCGGCAGTATATGTGTCTAAAGCGTAAAGGGTGAAGAGTGAAGTCTGGGAGTGTATGGGCGTCGTGGGTGGCACTCGGGGTTCTCTCGATTGGAGTTCGTTTGGACGGAGGAGGGGGGGGGGCGCGGGGGGGGGGGACGCGTATGCATGTTAAACATGCACATGCATGTGATGACTTGCGTAATGTGTGTGGCTGCGGGACACTCGTGGGGTTTACACTGTGATCACCCGCGTTCACCCCTTCTCGCTTCTGATCACTGTAGAGACGATACCCCTTTTGAGCTTTGTTGAAGGGGACGGCGCGTCTCGCGAGCCCCGTTCTGGACCCGGAGCCCCGCCCGCCCGCGGGTTTGCCCACCCGCGCCCGCCCTCGGCCCGTCCTCTCCTAGCTTCCTGCAAGCTAGAGGGTCCTCGTCTCGCTCTCCGCTCGCGCTCGGGTCTCGCGCGGCCCGCCCGCTCGCGGCCCACGAAGCGGGGCCAGGTTCGTGGGCCCCCGCGAAAACGCGGTGTCGAGCCACGTGCGGCGCGGTGGACCACCCCACCGCGTCGCGGGCCATCACGCGCGGCTTTGCGTCCTCCGAACCTTCGCCCGGGGGATCGCCTGCCGGCGCAGCTGCGGGACCAGAGCGGCGCTGCGGCACTGTCAGAGCCACGAGAGGACGCGCTCGCGCCAAAAGGCGGGCTCGAAGTCGAGGTGGTCGCCGAGGAAGGGCAGCGTGTGCAGCCTGCCCGCCTCGTCCAGGCTGCGCAGGCCGAGCGAGTCGTTGCGGTACTCGGCACTCTGCCGCATCGGCACGACCGGGCCGCCCTTGCCGCCCCACGCCCAGAAGGCGTGCGTCGAGCTCTCCCGAGGCACCACGCGCGTGTCGTTGAGCGCGTGCACAAGCACGTACGCCTCGAGGCGCTGCATCGCGGCGCGCCGCCGGGCCATGGCTGCAGATGTGCTGGCGCCGCTGTCGCGCTCGTTGTTTGCGTCGGCCAGCCAGCGGGAGCGGGAGAGGTACGCCTCTCTGCCGCCCGACACGTCCTTCCAGTAGTCCGAGAAGACGGTCGGGGAGCCGTACGGGTCGAGCTTGAAGACGAGGCAGAGCAGCGCCCAGACTGCTCCCTCCGGGCAGGCGCCGATGCCGGCGTGCGGTGTCGAGACGGTGACGAGGCGGCCGATCGGAGGGCCCGAGCCGCGCTCGAGGTAGCCGCGCAGCACGAGCCCTCCTTGGGACAGGCCCACCGCGTTGAAGCCGTGCTTGAGCTCGGGGTCCGACGCCACCTGCGACCGAGCCAGCCACGCCCGGGTGAGGGCTGGGACGGTCCCGCCGCTGCGGCGCCGGGCTCGCCTCGGCGGCGAAGGCGGCGATCTGGTCGTCCAGCCTCATCTTCATGGACGCCGCTCCGTCCGCAGTCGAGGCGCAGAGCACGTGGGTTCCCGGGTACTCCTCTTCGACAGAGCCGCAGAGGGAGCGCATCCCCTCGTTGGAGCTCGCGTCACCCATGCCGTGCAACACCACGACGGGCCGCCTCGCAGGGCCCACAGCTGACCGAGGCGGGCCGGCCGCTCGAGGGAGCACAGGCGCGAAAACTGGGGCATGCAGCTGGTGGGCTGCCAAGCGGTGGCATGCGAAGCTGGCGACGAGCAGCAGCGCGGCGGAGACAGCGGCGCAGTGCGCGAGGGCGGTGGCGCTGCACCGTCGGCGAGCGGGAGGGCTCACGGGACGGTGGGCGAGCTCGTGATAGCTGAAGTGAGCCTGAAGCTCCGGCATTCTTGAGGCCTGAGGCGCGGGCGCAGCAATCGAGCGTCGGCTTCCGTTGTTTGCAAAGCAGGCCGTCGGAGAGAAAAAAACAATTTGAAAGCGGCGAATGTGCTCAAAGAAAGAAGAAAATAAAGGGGGATGGCGGCGCAAGCGGGATTTCTTTCAAAAGGCAACGTGCTCCGATTTCTTGCCTCGTTCGTCCTCCAGGAGGAGCTCGGGCTCCTGCCAATGCGAGGCGCGATCTACCCCGCCTGTCTGGCGCTCACTATCGCCGCCTTCACCGCGCTTGGCCGGTCCTCCCGGCGGCCGGAGGTCGAAAACGCCACGCAGCAGAGCACCAACTTTGACGCGACCGGTGATCCGGTGCCGCAGCAGCTCCTCGCGCTGACCGCGCGGCGCTCGACGGCCGACGCGGTGAGGACGCTCTCGCTCTGCGCGATGCACGACGACAAACAGGGCCGCGCCTGCCGCGCCGCGCTGACCGTGTGGCTCTCTGAGGAGCAGCGGCTGAGCGAGGCGGAGCGCGCCGCGCCGGCGTTTGCCTCGCGGTTCCGCTTTGGCAGCTCGGCGCCCGTGCTCGGGCTGGCGGCGTGGAAGTGGTCGCTGCTCGGCGGCCTGCTCGTCGCGTACTTGCTGCGCGCGTACCTGGTCGTGCTCACGCTGTCTGTGGTGGTGCTCGCCGCGCGCCTCGTCGCCGCGACGGTGCAGGGCGCGCTGCTCACGCTCGCGCTCGGCGCGTACTGCGTGGCGGCGCTGCTCAAGAGCGCCGCCTCCGCCTACCTCACTCTCTCACAGCACACTCGCCGCCAGCGGATCGAGGCGCGCCGAGGCGAGCCCGCTCCGGGAGGGGGCGAGCCCGTCTGACGGCGCGCGTGACTCTGTCCTAGGACCTCGACCGGCAGCTCGCGCGGCAGGCGCGGTGCGGCTCGGGGACGAGCTACAAGGAGTGGCGTCAGACGGCGTCGCGGCGCGACGAGCTCTCAGGCGCGGCGGCCGGGCGAGGAGAGAGGAGGGAGGGGGCGGTAGCCCCTGGCCCGAGGTAGCCCCTGGCCCGAGCCTTGCCTCGCTGCAGGCGCGTCGGGCTGGCGCAAGGATGACGCGGGGTGGGAGGCGGTCCACAAGCACGAGGAGCAGCTGCGCCGCGCGGCGAGGGAGAGCGGCACCGGCGGGGAGGCGCTCAGCTTCGTCCTCTCCCCAGCGCCGCAGCTGTTCACAGCTGCTCACGCCGACAGCCGTGAACAGGCGCTCATGTTTGCGCTGCAGCCGCTGATGAAGCGGCCGGCCCACGCCGAGCCGGCAGTCGCGATGGGGGGAGCGAGGCACGTGACGGAGCGGCACTCGCACAACCTGAGCGCGGCGCTGCGGAGGCTCGTCGAGCCGCCGCCCGAGGGGCTTCCCGCCCCGTCGGTGCCTCAGCTCGAGAAGCGGCTCTCTTTCCTGACTGCGTCCCAGCTGTCGGTCGGCCACACCGCGCTCTGCCTCTCGGGCGGCGGCGCGCCTCTCCCGAGAGGGCCGCCGGGAGCGGGCTAAGGACACGCCTCACGCCCGCCAATGCGTGCGCTGCAGGCGCGCTCGCCATGTACCACATGGGTGTGGTCAAGGCCCTCCTCGAGCAGCGCCTCCTCCCGCGCGTGATCAGCGGCACCTCCGGCGGCTCGATCGTCGCCGGCTTCCTCGCACAACGCACCGACGAAGAGATGCTGGCCGACGTGTGCGTGCCGACCGTCTCGACCTGCCTGCCCGAGCGATGGTTCCCGCCGCTGCACGAGCAAGTCCTCTCCTTTGTGCAGCACGGCAGCCGCCCTCCGCCCGCCCTCCCCTCCTCCCCGCCCCCTCCCTCACCGCCCGCCCCCTCCCTCACCGCCCGCCCCCTCCCGCAGGCTACCTCGTCAAGTCCTCCGACTTCGAGCGCACCGCCCGCGCCTACTACGGCGACATGACCTTCGAGGAGGGCTTCCGCCGCTCGGGGAGGCGCGAGCGGCGCGGCCGAGCCGCCGGGTCTGCGGGCGGGCGCACCTCAGCCTTCTCTGCCGCCGAGCAGGCACGTCAACATCTCGATCGCCTCGTCGACGCGCGGCGGGCGCAGCGAAGGCCAGTCCGTCCTGCTGAACCACGTCACCACGCCAAACGTGCTCATCTACTCCGCCGTCGCAGCCTCGTGCGCGCTGCCGGGCATCATGCGGCCGGCGACTCTGATGGCGAAAGACAGCCGCGGCCGCATCGTGCCGATGGACCCGCCGGGCGCCCGAGCGTGCGAGGAGAAGCCAGCCCCCCGCGGGGTTGTCCACGACATGTCCACCGCCCGCACCGCAGGCACCAAGTACGTGGACGGCTCTCTGCGGGCGGACCTGCCGCTGCACCGGCTCTCGCAGCTCTTCCACGTCTCGCAGTTCATCGTCTCGCAGGTCAACCCGCACATCGCCCCCTTCCTCGAGACGCCCGCGCAGGCGCCGCGCCGCCCTCGCAGAGCCGCGCGATCGGCGGCAGGGCGGTGGGCGCGAGGCGTTCGCAAGGGCCATAGGCCATCCTCTCGGAGGTGACCAACCAGTCGGGGCTCGCCGCCTCCCTCGCCGGCCTGCAGCGCTTCCTCTTCCGCGAGGTGCAGCACCGCTGCCGCGCCCTCGCCGCGCTCAACATGCTGCCCACCCTCTTCGGGGAGGACGCGGCGGGCGTCTTCCAGCAGCGCTACCACGGCTCGCTCACCGTCGTGCTTTTAGCAGTCAATCATGAATCGGCAATCACAAGTCATTAACAATGATTAGGCTCGCTCACCATCGTGCCGCGCCTCGACGCGCGCGACTGCATCCACGGCGTCATCAGCAACCCGTCCGTCGCCGACATGCGCCGCCTCCGAGGCGAGGGGCGCCTTCCGCGGTTCGGTCCGCGACGCGTCCACGACGTGCCGCGTAGGCACCGCTACCTCGACGAGGGGCGCCTCAAGACGTGGGAGGCGCTCCAGTGCATCCAGCAGCTCCTCTCGCTCGAGAAGGCGGTCGAGGCGGCTCGCACCGACACGCAGCAGCAGCTCCACGCCGCGCGCGCCGCACGCGCCGCCTCCCTCACGCCCTCCTGCTCCTCCTCCCGCCTCGCCGCCGAGGGCGACGCCGCGGAGGAGCAGCCCGCGCCGCCCCCGCGCCCGTCGCCGCCGGCGCGACTGCCAAAGTCGTCGCTGCCCAAGGCGTCGAGCTGGGCGAACGGGCTGGACGGCCTCTCGACGGAGGAGTCGCGCCGCTCGGTCGAGCTCTTCCGCGACTCGCGCGCCCTCCTCGAGGAGCACTCGGACGGAGGGCCGTCGCCGCCGCAGCTGCCGCCGACCTCGATGCCAGACGCCGCGTCGCCAGGGCTGAGGACGGTGCTCCCGACGCTCTGCCGCGCGGCATTCTCGCCGAGGAAGGGCGTCGACGGCGACCGCAACTCGGAGGCGTGGAAGAGCTGCGACAGCTGACGGACCCGTCCCCTATCCGCGGGAAGGTGGGGCGGCCGCCCGCTGCGCTCGCCGCCGTCCTCGCCTGCCCCTGCTCTTGTGTGCGCCTTGATGGCTGCCTCCTCGCGGCCGCGATCCATCGTACGCATGTGCATGTGCTCTTTTGTGCCCCATCCCGGATCCCGCCCGCGCCCTCTCGCCTCCCCGCCGCGCTTTCCCCCCATCCCATGTGCTTGCTTCTCTCGGACGCTCTCCCCGTCTCTCGTGTAATGGGCCGCGCGCTGTCGTGAAAGCAAATAGAGGAGGTAATACACAAAAGAGTGTGTAATGGAACAGGGGCCTCCCTTATACTCGCGCTGTCCGGTGAGGGTATTGTCGCCCCGCGCAATGTGTGCGCGGTATGTGCGCGCTCCAACCGCCAACCCCCGTAACCCACATTGCTTCAAACAAAAGCCCGCAGCCTCACTCCATCGACATATATATATCTCTTTCGCATCCTCCGCCTCGGGCGTCCGCCAGCGCGCTGCGCCGCACACCCCGGCGCACAGGAGGCGGCGCCCGCCGCACCTCGGCCGCCTCGGCGGCGCCCGCGGCACGGGTGCCATGCTCGCCGTCCGCGCGGTCCATCACCGCATCCCCATCCCCGTCTGTGGCAGCGCCGCCTGCGCCCGCGCCGGCCTGCTCTGGGACGGCGCGCCACCGCTCGTCGTCCAGCATGTGCCACCACCGCCGACACGAGTAGCCGTCGTACTCGACCTCGTGCACGATCCGTCCGTCCCCGTCCTCCTCCCGCGCCATGACGGTCGCAGGGTACCACCGCTCACTGTCGCAGAAGATCTCGAGGCGCGATCCGGTGGACAGGACAGTGTGGCCGTCGAGCGCCGACCTGGCACCCTCGCGCTTTCGCTTCCGTCGCTTCGCCTTCGTCTCCTTGCTGCGCAGCAGGGTGTAGTTCGGGCCCACCTCCGCCACGCTGTCCAGCACGTGGACGGCGCTCGCCATCTCGACCGCGTCGTCCTCCGGCGGAAGCTCCGCGTCGCCCGCGGCCGCTTCCCGAGCGCGCTCGTCGCGCATCCGCTCGTGGTGGGCCTGCCGACGCGCCACGCCGGCGCCCGTGTGCCTCCGCGCTCGCCGCCGCGTCCGGCGACGGCATCGATGCTGTCCGCACGAGCGTGACTCGCCACTCCACGACCTCCACGCTCTGCCCCTTTCCCCCAAACCTAAATTTGTCTACAGTTACATACATACCTCGCGCGTACGAATGTCGCTAGAGAGCCTGAGGCTGAGCGGACAGGCGGTATGCGCCCTATGCCTAGGTGATCGGGAATTGGGTTCACACGTTTTGCACGCGACTATCACCGTACTATTGTAGAGTGGGAGAGAGAAAGGGGAAGAGGGCTTTATCACACTGTAAGCCGTTCGAGAGCTGTAGCACACCACGTATGTACACGATTCACGACGGACGCTTCCCATGACCCCGCCAACTACCCCTGGTCTGTGTGCATGTGAGATATCGACCGTCAGACATCTCGTGGTATCATCCACATAATCTGATAATCATCGCTTCGCGACAGTACGGGCACCGCCGGTCGCGCTCCATGATTCTGGCGGCGTAGTCGCCGCAAGCGGACCAGTGCCCGCAAGGGACCGCCCGCTGCGTGCGACTTCGGCTGGGCGAAGCATATGATCTGAGGGAGGGTGTGGAGGATGTAGAGTGTAGAGCGCTGTAGAGCTGTAGAGATGTAGAGTGCTGGAGAGCGCTGTAGAGCTGTAGAGCTCTACATCCGCCGCGTGACGATGTGCCTCCGTTGTAGAGCGATGTGTAGAGGCGCTCTACAACGTGAAATCTCTACAACCAACTCTAGTCTCTACATCATACAAAGCAAACAAACACAACACAGGTGGTACAAAGCTCGCTTCCAAGCTCTCACGCCGCGCGTAGGGCCCTTAGGGGCCTAGAGAACACAACCACCCCTCCCTTTTCTCCCAGTATTGTAAGCTAAAAGTGAGTTTTGGACGGATGGAAAAAGACTCACGATGGCTAACCCTGGGCATGGCCTCTCTGGGGATGAGCTGGGTCGGCCTCCTTCCTCCGGGTCTGCAACTCGCACGGCGGGCCCGCGTCCGAGCAAGCGTCCGCGGCCCGCGGTTGTCCCTTCGCAGGGCGCGACCGACATGGTGGTCCACTGCGCACCAAGCAGTGCTTTTGTCGACTATTGCCGGCTCTCCATGCACTTGCAACGCCAGAGGCCGTGCTTGGAGAATGCCTCGCAGTGCTGCTGCGCCTGTGGATTGTGCCGCAGCGCAACCTCCATTGGTGCGCTGCGGTGGCGCGCCGGCCGCTTCATGCATAGCTCTCCGGAGAGGGGCCGCCGACGCGTTTTCCGTCCGTTTCATCTCGAGTTGCCCGAGTGGTAAAAGCAATGGACATTAGGGTCAAGCTGAACGATCGGGAAACGTGGCCGAATGGTCCCCTCCCCCGCGCCCATTCCCCTGCCCTCTCCCGCCACGCACGCCGACCGAGCCCTCTCCGCTCTTGCACCGGAGGAAAATGGAATTAATCAGAAGGGCGGGCGCAACGGAGAGGGGCGGCGGAACAACAGACTAAGGAAAAGGAGGGACTGAGGGGGGCTGGCTGTGCACACAATGAATCATGATGTGATGCGAGGCGCTATCTCTCAAGATGGAAGCAGGAAGCGTCCATCCCGGCGGTGGTTCGAATCCACACGAGCCGAGGGGTGAAGGGGGAGGGTGGCCTGAGGTCTGAAGCTCACCCATTGAGGAAGTGAGAACTGCTCGGCCCACCCCTGATCCTGCTGAACAAGCCAGCTGCAGACCCCCTATCCGGGTATGGAGCCGAACCCGTGACGGCAGCGCTCCCCGCCGCTGGTGCTCCCGCTGGCTGGCTGGGGTAGATAGGCAGGTGGGGCACGGAGCCTGGTGGCGCCCGTAGCAGACCCCCTAAAGGGGGAGGAGCCGAACCCAACCGCTTTTTCTCTGTGCGAGCAGAGGTGGGTAGGAGGGCGATGGTCGCCACACGAAAGCGTGCGCGGCCGGCTGGCTCCTGCAGCCTAGACGAGTCGACGCTGGCGTCGCTCAACACCTCGCGTGCGCCGCTCGAGCTCACGGGCGGCCACGCGCAGCCAGCGCGGATGGTGCAGTACTTTCGGGAGGCGAAGCTTACCGACGTGACAATCATAGTGGACGGCAAGTCATACGCGGCCCACCGCAACGTGTTGGCGGCGGCGTCGGACTACCTGGACAAGCTCTTTGCCGGCCCAAAGTGGGCGGACCAGGAGCAGCCGGTGAAGCTCTCTCAGGTGCCGGGCGCACACACGTTCGCAAACATCCTCGAGTACATCTACACGGGGAGCTGCATGACGAACGAGAGCGACCTGATCTCGATGCTCGAGGCGGCGCACTACCTCCAGATCGAGCCGCTGCTCCGCTCGCTGCAGGAGCTGGTCGCGCGGCGCGTGGACGCGTCAAACTGCCTCGAGGCTTGGAAAGTGGCAGACACGTACACGCTCGAGAAGCTGTCGGCGACGGCGATGCAGGAGGAGGCTCCAGTAGTTTGAAAAGCTTTCCTCTTCTGCGGGCTTCTCCGGGTTGTTCCTCTCCATCCTCCGTCAGGGCAGGTCGGAGAGGACACCTCCTTCGGCTTCTCGCGGGCGGTGCTCGGCTAGACACTTCCTAGACACTTCCTAGACACTTCTCGCGGGCGGTGCTCGGCTCGGCCTCGCCGCCACACGTGCCTGCCTCCGCCCCCCCTCACGCACCGCCGCCCGCCTGGCGCTTGGTGCAGGCGCGAGTCGACCTCTCCAACGCTGACGTGCTCGGCTCGGGTTGGATGGAGAACCCGAAGGACGAGGACGGGCACTACCGCCTCTCCTGGCGAGAGAGAGCCGGGAGAGATGGCGAGATGTGGGGAGATATCGCCTCTCCTGGAGAGATGGAGAGCCGGGAGAGATGGCCGAGAGGTGGCCGAGAGATGGCCGAGAGGTGGCCGAGAGGTGGCCGAGAGATGGCCGAGAGGTGGCCGAGAGATGGCCGAGAGATGGCCGAGAGATGGCCGAGAGATGGCCGGGAGGTGGCCGGGAGGTGGCCGGGAGGTGGCCGAGAGGTGGCCGAGAGATGGCCGGGAGGTGGCCGAGAGATGGCCGGGAGGTGGGCCGGGAGGTGGCCGGGAGGTGGCCGGGAGATGGCCGGGAGATGAGCGGGCTACGGAAGCAGGAGTCCTAGCGGCAGACCGTGAGCTCGTCCCCCCCCTCCGGGGGGGTCCCTCTTTTAAGTCTGTTTAAGAAAATCGGCCTCACCGGCACGCGTCGCTGGGTTCCGCGCCGTTTTATCCAATACTGCCTTTATTAGGCACAAACCCGCCTCTGAAGACACATCTGTAGGTCTGGTGCACTGGCAGGAGCCATACTCGCATAGGGGACGCGTGCCAGCTGACTGTAGCCAGCTTCCCGGCCTCCGGCGTCTACCGGGAGCCTCCCGGACCATCGACCTCGGGAGCTCTCCCGCACCGTTTAAGCGTTTAAGACCGTTTAAGGAATCGGCGGCCC